TGAGACAGGGTCTCACTATGTAGTTGAGACTGACCTGGAACTCACTATGTAGCTCAGGCTGGTCTTGAACTCACAGCGATCATCCTGCCTCAGCCTCCAGAGTGCTGGGATTACAGGCATGAGCTACCACACCTGGCTTTAGGTTGTAGTGCTAGAGTATTTCTCAGGGAATTTCTTGGTGTGATCAGTGAGCCAGTTGCCTAAGAATAACCCAAGCTGATTGTGAAAATGCAGGTTCTTGGTCCCCATTCTGGAGCTGCTAAGTTAAATACTGAGAAGAGGTGGCAACTAGGACCAACAAGGACCAGATGGTTCTCATCTGCCCTACAATTGGGAAATATGCTGCACTTTATTCCTTCTTAATCTGGATAGAAATGCAGACCTGCTGAAGCAGAGATGGGGTAGGGCCCAAGTCTACATTTCTAACAATACTAGGGCTCTGCGTGAACATTTACAGCAGGCTTACTCATAACTGCCAACACTTGGATTCCACCAAAACATCCTTCAGTAGGTGAACAGCAAAATGAACTGGTCTATCCAGACAAAAACTATTAGGGCTAGTAAGTGGCAGAGGAACCAGCCATATTTCTAAATATTAGAAATGAGCAATTGGGCATTGAAATGAAAAAGCAACATCCTTCTAATAGCTTAGGGATAAATCCAATAAAAATGTATCCAATTTATATACTGAGACCACAAAACATTTCTGAGAAATAAATGTCTACAGATATACTATATATGTCATGATCATGGGTCAGAAGACTCAATATTGTTAGGATGACAATTTTTCCCAAATTGATGTACAGATTTAGTTCAATCCTGATCAAAATCTTAGCTTTTTAAAAATTTTAATAGAAATTATAATCCCAGCACCCAGGAGGCTAAGGCAAGATTGCCTTGAGTTTGAGGCCAGCCTGGACTACACAGTGAGTTCAAGGTCAGCCTGAACTACATAATGAAACTCTATCTCAAAAGAACAAAACCAAACAACAAAATAGTAATAAAATAATTAAAATTAAAAGGGGCTAGGGGTGTGGCTCAGTGTGAAGGCCCTGGGTTCGATCTCTAGCCCCACCAAAAAAAATGTGTGAGGGGATGTGTATTCGTGTATCACTTATAATAGTTGAAAGCTATAGCTAGCCACCTCCCTGTGGAGAATTACCGAAGCAGTGATGGGTGGATTCCTATTCGGTCACTGAAAACGGCATCATACGAGAAGAGTATTAATGAGCCACACGATGCCCAAAGTATTTTTTAAGGGGAAGAGGTTGGATAATGAAAGTGAATGTACGTGCAGTTATTGTTAGGGCCGGGGATTTAGCTCAGTGGTTCCGCTGCCTGCCTCGCAAGTGCAAGGCACTGAGTTTGATTCCTGGCACCAAAATAAAACAAAACAAAAACAAAATATTGTTGTTGTTATTTTAGCCTTGAAAAAGAGGGAAATCCTAGCCACTGCTTCAACTTACCTGAGTCTTGAGGACCTTATGATAAGTTAGATAAGCCAGTTATACAAAGATGAGTACCAAAAAGAAGCAGATGAATAGCTTAGGATTCTAGTTATCTGGGTTTTCTGAAATAGTCAAATTCATAGAAACAGAAAGTCAGATGATAGTTCTCAGGGTTTGCAGGGACAAGGAAATTGGGAATTATTCAATGGGCATAGAGTTTCAGTTTGGAAAATGAAAAAGTTACGGAGATTTGTTGCACAACAATGTGAAATGCTTAGCCTTACTGAACTGTACACTAAAAATGGTTAAGTTAGTAAATTTTTATGTTATATGGGTTTTTTTTTTAACCACCATTCTTTTAAAAAGTGAATGTATGGGATTTTTTTTTTAGGTAATGAGGATTTCACTGAGGGCCTTCACACTGAGCTGCATTCTTAGCTTATTTTATTTTATTTTACTTATTTTCTGAGATAAGAGCTCACTAAATTGCCCAATGCCTTGCTCCTTGTCCTCAGGTGAGAGGGAGGGTGACTGATCCACAGATGATCCCTTTGCCCATTGTGATATTCTTTTTCTGTGTGTGTGTGTGTGTGTGTGTGTGTGTGTGTGCGTGTGTGTATGTGTGTGTAGGGATACTGGGTGGTAGGAGAAAAAGGAAAAGAAACAGGTATGAGCTCAGCAGGACAGGTTTATTTCAGAACAAACCTGAGAGGGACAGCTCTGGCACTGAGACCAGACCAGCCTCTCTCCTACAGACTGTAAGGTCTGTATAGGGTCATGAGCATAAAAAAGGGGGAGAGGGCTGTGGAAGGAAAAAGTCACAGTGGAACTTTCAAGGAGGAAAGTTCAGTACAAAGGAGCTTTGGCTTTCCGCCCCAAGACCAGGCTTGGGGGTGAATAAGGAGTTGTGTGTTTGTCAAGAGCAGGGTTGAACAGTGATCAGGAACTGTGGGGTGTAGCTGTACTTACACTGTACTTACTGGGCCTTATCGTCCCAGGATGATTCCTTAGCAGCAAGTCTATAAGCATAGCAGAGGAAGGGATTTAAAGTGTTCTCTGCTCAGACAAGAGTGGGGGGTGGTCAGGTTCCTTCACTGGATATTGAAGCCAAGATCTTCCTTGACCCCCCTTTTACAAAATTGTTTATTTTGAGACAGGACCTCAGTAAGTCACTAAATTAGCAAGGGTGTGTTTGAACTTGCAATCCTCCTGCCTCAGCCTCTCAGAGTCCTGGGATTATAGGCATGTGCTACCATGCCCTGCTCTTCGTGATACACTTGGTTTGCTTTCTTCTAACTAAACAATCCAAATTCCAATCATCTTTTCTTCCGAATCTAGTTGTTTTCGCATGTTAAGTCCTATTGCAGGCAGTTCAAGAGGGAGTAGTATTCGTTGCCCAGAAATTTGTTGTATTAAATAACTCTGGAATTAAGTGTCCTGGTAATAATATTTATGGCTCTTTGCCATATGGAAATTTTATTCTGATTCCCGTGTAAGGTCCCTCACCCCCAGTTTGCTGGTCACAGGGTTTGCACTAGGTTATGTTCAGTAGCTGACCCTGGTTGCCAGCCAAGCTCAGCATCTTACTCTATAAACCAGCTTGCAAAGGGATGAAGATCCAGGAGACAGAGGAGGTACTTTGGCCTGGGATGAAGAGCCCCTGGTGCTCTCACACGTTCATTTCTTTTCTTAGTCAGGTCAGAAGCATAACTGGTGGGACCTGCCAGTGGAGGTGTCTAGTAAGCACTTGTAGCAAGATTATAAGTTGTCCTTTAGTAACAAACTCTGACTTTTTACCTGGGCACATTGCCACCCAGGTTAAAAAAATAAAAGATTTCCAGCCTCCCTGCAGGCAACTATTACAGGCAGCTAAGTTAGATAGAAATTAATATACAATCAGTGAGGAATTGGACCCTCAAGGAAGCTAGCACAAAAAAATATAAACATCAGAATTGTGGCTGGAGGAGAATCTGAAGAGAACCAGGCCTCGGGATGGAAAAGGGATAGATAGGCCTGAAGCCTCTCTGGAGATAAACAGCAACTTTAAATTATACTATAATTAGCACCCCCTGGTCCTATGGGTACAGATGGGCATCAGACACAGGGGCAGGTGACCAGAACACCTGACCCATCCTCCCTTCCCTTTCCAAAAATTCCTTTGTTCTTCCCCTGAACCCTCACTATATGACCCCTTTCCCTGTTGGATCAGAATTAGCTAAGTTAGCTATACTTTGAATTTTTCAGGTTGATTACAGTACCCACATTGTGACTTTGCTGTACAAATTACCCCTGACAAAGGGCCTTAGTGGTCACCCACTTGGGACCCCTCCTGGAAATCCAGGAGCTATTCTTCTCTTTCTTTCCAATAAAACTGCCCTAACTTCCTCCTTTGGTGTCTGACCTTAGTCCTCAATGTTGCAAGACCACCAATTCACATGTTTGACATCTAACATGTTGGGAGTTATATTGTTCCTCTATCACCATGGTAATGGTACCAAGTTTGGTTTGGTGGTATGTCAGCCGAAGGATGTGTGGGAACTCTAGGATGTCTACTTAACCAGAGGGAAGTTTCATCTTTTACTCCTTCTTCCTTTCTGTGGCCTTTATGTGTCATAGTTGGAGCTCCAGAGCACATCCTGGACCATGAAGTCAAGAACCATCATAACTTTACACCTTTAAGTTATATGGTAAAAGTAATGCAAACAGGTACAGTGTTTGAATACATGATTTGAATACAGGAGGCTAGAGTTAAAAGGTTGAGCATTTTCAAAGTAGAAGTAATCGTTGAAATCCAGGTAGAGATGAGACTGCTAAGGAGGGTAGAGTGAAGAATCCAGAAGTTAAACCTGCTCCTCTGGTGGAGGAGCAGCTGGAGGGGAGGCTTCCTCCTTTCTGTGGGCAGAAATTCTGGGCAGAAAGCCTCCCCCTAGCCCTGGCTGCTAGCTTTTGTCTTCTCATCGTGAAGCTTACTGTCCCTGGGTGACTCCCGTGAGGGACCAGTCTGGCGTCCCTTGCTGATGCTTTTCATTCTCTGCGCCTACTACAGTGGCTGGCAGGCAGTAACTATTTGCAAGCTGAACTAATTGAAGGATGGTTGGCAAGGAAGTCAGGGGAAAGGAGGGCTTCAGGGAGGAGGAGCGTCTGCAGGCCAAATGCCCAGGATAATCAAGTAAGGCTGGCCAGGGAAGGGCTGGTGGCTTTGGTTCAGTGCATCTGGCACTTAGGAAGACATTGGCAATCCAGGGGAGAAGGGTCTCCTGGGGAGTTAAAACAGGAAATGTCTCAGAGTGAATGGTGGTGGAGGTGGGCTGGTTGTTCTCCTAGGAAGGAGAGGAAGAGACTGGGATGGAGGGGTGCTAGGGAACCAGGGGATCATATTTCTTTTCTAGCTAATCATGCTCATAGGGTGCAGGGAACCTGAGAGAGGGTCACTCCTGACCTCTATCCTGTGGGAGCCGATGACACTCTGGCCATCTCTGTGCCTAACCCACTGTTTAATTTCTCATATGTGTATCAACATCTTTCCATGCCCCCTGGCTTCCGTGCTAATCTAAGTCCCTGCAACACAGACTGTTTATAGCCACTGTGCACAAAGCAGAGGCTCCATTGATGCCAATCGCCTTTCCTTCCTCCCAATCAGTGTTTCCTGAAAAACACTGGAGCTGGAAGCAGCCTGGGTCAGCGAAGGATGGCGCTCTATGTGTTGGTGACATGGCTTCATAAAAATAGGAGAGGAAGCTGAGCAGAGTGGCGCAGGCATGTAATTCCAGCGCGTTCAGAGGCTGAGTCAGGAGGACTGAAATTTCCAGTCCAGCCTGGGCTACTTAGCAAGTTGAGAACTTGCTAGGTAAGAACTTGCCTCAAAATAAAAATAAAGAAATGAATACATAAAAAGGTCTGAGGATATGGTTTAGTACAAAGGCCCTGGGCTCAGTCCCCCTGATCAAAAGCAAAGCAGAAGAAAAAAAAACAAACAAACAAACCAAGAACCAAGAGAGGCCTCACCATAAGAAGGGGCAGCAGGAAACAAAGCCCCCAGAGGAGGCATGGTTAGAAAGGTATTACAGACAGCAGAGTTAGGCAGAAATATTACAGGCAGTCAGATAGGGCTAGGTCCTCAGGAGAGTCAGGACGCAGGTGAAACATACCACAGCTGCCCAGGAGATACCTCTGCTGGAGACCAGGCCTCGGGATAAAGACAAGATGACCAGGCCCACGTAATTCCACAAAGGATAAATACCAGGTCTAATGAAGCCTAGTTAGTCATCAGCCACCCTGGTGGGTGACCAGAGACCTCTGGACCCATGATTTGCTAGAAGTCTTTGTTCTTCTCATCCACGCTCGTTACGTGACTTGTTTCCCAGTTGGCCCACTATTACCTGAGTAGTACTTGTAACTTTATTGGTTGATCATTGTACCCACATGGGTTTTGCTCTACAAAACTCCTCTACAAGTGGGGTCCCTGGGCTACCCCACTTGGGTCACCTACCTCTCAGGAGTGATCCTATCATTAAATATCTTCCTATTCTTAACCTCATTGTTCCTCATTGAATCCGTTCTTCGATTTTCAGAGACTATGAACTTGGCGTTCATATTCTGACCAGAGAGCTGACAGGTTGGGAGATATAGTATTTCATATTTCATGTCTGATATTATTTCCTGGATCAAAGGGACTACTCTGGGCCTTCCCCATTGGTGAGAGGAACCCTGGAGGGAAGAAAGGACCCAGGGCAGGAGGGATGGGTGCTTCACAGCATCAGGTAATAAAGGCAGATGACATTTAACCACACAGCATTTTATTCTGTGCTCACACAGCATAATGACGGTACACATTTCACTTAAGGTGTGTCATGAACCCCAAGCGGTACTGCCTTCCCCTCCAAACAGACAGGCCCTGTGCCTGCTCGCTCTGAAGTTGGAGGACCCCACGCCTGCAGCTGGGAGGGAAGCGTGGGGCAGCCGGCTGCTCAGGGGGAGGGAAGCAGTAGCCCCTCCGTTAGCAATGCCTGGGTGGGAACTAGTGTTGCTGGTCCTGAAGCCCAGTTTTCCAGTGGCTCAGGGGAGTCAAAGGGTTTATGCTTTCCAAGCTTTTAGGGGGCAGTAGCATAAGTCCGTTGCTTTCTAACTTTTCCTTCCCTTCCCTTCCTTTCCCTTCTCCTTCCTTCCTATGCTACTTCCATTTTGCATTATTAGGGAAGAAACCTACAGCTTTTTCACAGAGCTACATATGCATCCCTTTTTAATTTGAAGATAGGATCTCACTAGGTTCCTAAATTGCCCAGGCTTCACTCCAGCTCCCAATCCTCCTGCCTCAGCCCTCCTAAGTGCTAGTAGTACAACTGGAAACAATAGAGCTGTGGAAGTCACTTTCTTCAATCCACTTAATTTAATTTAATTTTTTCCCATCCACTTCATTTTAAGCAGCACCCTGGCCATTCCTCCTTCCGTTGTCTTAAGAGAGGTAGAAAATCATGTAACAATAACTCAGGAGATCTCTGACACTCTAGATCACGTCAGTTGAATCTCCTAGCCTGATCTTTGCCATCTTCACCCTACTCTCACCTCATTCATTACAGGTTCATAAATATGGACTACATCTCATGCATGTAATTAAGATCAGAGTGAATTTTGGGGCAAGCACGTGTGTGGAGAGCCTCCGAGATAACGCAGTACGCTGTCGATCATTCCTGCCAATCTCGCCCAGAGCCCCAGGGAAGGCACCTGTGCGGAGATGCCCACCCTTTAAATTCCGAAAGAGTGACTTATCAGTGGCTGTTGCTGTGTGCTGTGTTGTGTGTGCAGTCTTTTGCTTTCCCGTCAGCCTGGCACCTCTTTTCTGTTCGTGCCATCTCTTTGTTTGGCATAGACGCACCCTGAGCACAGCTTCCTGTGATCTTCAGTAAATGTGGCTGCTTTTTACTGGGTGTACATTTGCAATCCACTGGTCATCATACACCAGAGCCTGGATCATACCTGCCCGTGGCACGGTAACACTGGGGTTACAGGCATCACCACTGTGCGATAGCACAGCTTCCCATCCGACTTGAGAACACACAGCACCACACAGCGGCAGGGTGGGGTGGGAGAGGGGCTGGGTCTCTTTCCATCGCAATTCCATTCAGTGTGGCGGGGTGGCACCTGAGAACCTGAATTTCTAACCAGTTCCCCACCACACTCTGAGCAACAAGGCTATAAACGAGAGCCCAATTTTTCTCTAAGTACTGAGTACCTGTCCCCACTCATCTCCCAACAACAAAGGGCTGGCTGGCCACAGGGGGCTCACTGGGCTCTGCTTGAACCACTTCTCTTTCTCCTTCTGTGTCCTTCGTCCACCAGCCCAGGCACATCAGTGGCTCAGACGACACCTTTCTTCAGTGAAGTCCCTGGCCTGCAGGGAGACCTGGTCACACTGATTGGGTTTCTCTGTGTCCCAGGGCTTTCCCAGGGTTTGGGAAGCCATCTCCGAGGGGGGAGGGAGGAGTTCTTTCTGGAAGGGATTCCTTGCCTTTCCGAGTTGCTCCTTCCTCCTTTCATTCTCTAAGAACCGGAGTGTCCTGGCTGAGGGGTTTCCATGATAAACTAGAGGGATGCTACTTACAGATAAATAATCTCATCTGGAAGCCATGGTGGTGAGACAGGTGAGCCATGTGTTGGTAGTACCGGGCAGCTCTGTTCACCTGAAGCTGTCCCTTGTAGCCTGCCAGATCCCCAGACTAGCTCCCCACTCGGGGAGCCCACTGTAGGCTTGGCTTTGCCTGGCATTTCATTGGAGCTGGGTTCTTAGCCACAGCTGCCTGGTTGGGGTCACTGGCATCAGTAGCCTCCGGTTCTGGGTGGCTGGAGAAGTGCCGGTGCCACAGGTCACCTGTTTGGCTTTGTTGGTGCAGACACTAGGATGTCCCTGGAACTCCATTTAGGTCTCTCAGTATCAAGCTTCCTACTAATACCTGATTCATAAAAGTCAAAATCATAAAATATTTTGATGATAAATATAAGGAGGCAATACCTTAAAATTACCTTAAAAAAAGCATTTTTTGCAGGGAAACTGGGAGTGCTCCTCAGTCATCCCGAGCATCCCCTGGATCCCCTGTGAGAGGAAGGAGAGGGAGAAGATCTGGAGCCTGAAGTTCTTGGGAACCAGCCCCTCTCTCAGGCCACACTTCTCTCTGTGCTCGAGGATAGCACTGGGAGTCTGTGGCCATCAGATCGTGGACTTCCCTGTAGAGAAGCGGGGAAAGAAATCCCAGCGGCACAAAACTCCAGCGTGGCTCCTTGTCCTCCTTGTCTCTCTCCGCTTTCCATGATCTTGTTTTTCTGGGGGAAAGCCCAGGCCACTTGCCTGCATTGCTGGCTGAACAGCAGGGCTGGTCGTGTGGCCTGTGAGGGCCTCGGCTCAGGGCAGAAGCAGCCACAAGGATTGGTGGGGCTCCCTGGGCCTAGGAAGGACACTGGCTCCTCAGGCGTTTCTTCTTCTCCACTGCCAGGCGCAGGGCCTGGAGGAGCTTGTCTTTATTATTCAGGATGTTGTACTCAGAGAGCTTCACCAGCTTGTCAAAGGCAGCTTCCGTGTATGTCAGCTCCTTGGTGGCATACGGAGATTTGGGGCCATAAATGTCAACTTGGCCCAGTTCCATCTCCTCAGGGCTCCGCTCCACACCTGGGCAGCAGAAAGACTTGTTGTGGACCCTTAGGTCAGGTGGCAAGGACTTGTTTCCGCCCTGTGTGCACAGACACTCACGCACACTCACACACAGGCACTCATGCACCTCAGGGCAGCATACAGCTTTCCCATTTTGTGTTTGGCCCAGCCCCAGCTAGTTCCAGGCTCATCATTGGGTGTCAAGAAAGGCTGACTGACCAACAAAGAGTGGTGGGGGGCTCTCTTCTTCCTTGCCATACTCAAGATGGTTCCAACTGCAATGAAGCCTGGCTTCCCTCTGCACTATCTGGGCTTCCATGAGTCTAAAGCGGGTACTGAGGCCAGAGCTGGAGGGGCTGGGGACAGAGAGGAGGCAGCTTACCTGGCGCCTTGTACTTCTGGAAGGTGTCGTTGACGAGCGGGAAGAAAGCCACAACAGGGACCTCAGGATCCTGGGACTGCCCCATCAGATAGCACTCCTGGAGGTTTTTGTCATCATCCTGGATGTCATAGCTGGGGAAGGGGATCCCCTGCTCAGTGCAGTACTCGCAAGTCTGTTTCATGGGCTGGAATACCACAGAGGACAGGTCTGAGGACTAGAGGGCTGAGGGTGGGTAAGAGATGGAGTTCTTGGATCCAGCTTCCTAACAGCTATGTTCTCAGTTGCTTTGACAGTCTGTGGTATTTTCAGACAAAAGCCAGGTCAGGACAAGAAGCCCTAGGCAGTGGGTTGGTGTGGGCCCAGTTGCAAGCTCCTTCCCCAGGTGAATGGGGAGAAGCCCCCCTGGGCACTTACTCAAGCAAGGACCCGTGTAGACCTGACTGGCAGTCTGTGGGGTAGGAGTGACCAGAGACAGGCTGGCCAGGCTCCTTTGCACATACAGGGATTTTGGAAATGGCAGTGTCACAGGGCACCAAACTTAGTGTCTGAACCCCCTTGGTTCTGCACCTGTTCCATGACTTGCCTGCTGTGTGGCCTTAAGCAAGCCATACACTCCCTGTCCCTCTGTAACTCAGAGATAATAGCAGCTGTGACATCAGCTGCAAAGAGCTGGAGTAGTCAGGACCAGGTGAGACCATGTGTAGGAAAATACACTATTACTTATTTATAAACTTAGGTCACTAACATTGTTGCCATCCTTATCATTTGTCTGTGCTTTCTAGCTTCGGGATAGGACTAGATCAAAGTAGACCAAAACCAGCGTCTTTTCCTGAAAGGGCCAGAACTTTTCAAAAGTAAATACAGATCTCCCTGGTCCTTGCTCTTTAGTGTAATTACACAGAGGACTGTTGTTCCTGGGGATAGAAGGGTACAGTATGATTGTTTTGAAAGCAGGGCATTCTAAACTCTTTAAGTGGTGCAAAACTTTATTACGGACTAGGTTCTATTAAGTCCCCCAGCCCCAAAACTGGAGACTGAACTCAGGGCCTTTGCACAGAGCTACATCACCAGCTCTCTTTTATTTTTTAAACAGGGTCTCACTAAGTCACTAAATTGCCCAAGATGGACTGAAACTTGTGTTCCTCTTGCCTCAGCTTCCCACATCGCTGGGAGCCCACTGCACTTGGGTGATTAAGGTTATTTTTTTAATCTTTATTTTTTAAAGCTGATGACCATGTATGGCCAATGCTCAAAGACAAGAATAAAACTGGAATTTCCTAGGTGAACTTATGTCTGCCTCAGGCCTGGTGGCTGCCCCTGGAGTTTGGTCCTCCAGCCTTGGGCCATGCCCTATGGCCTGAGCTCCTCCCGTGCTGGGCCTCAGAGCCACAGGGAGGGCCGCTTCTCTTCTGTCATAGCCGCTGAGGCCACCAAGACTGTGACACTGATCCCGTTGCTCCTGCACTCAGGAGTCTTCCTCCTAGCACTCACCTTTGTCTGGGACCCAGCACAGTAATTGAGGTGGATGACGAGGTCGGCTTTTCTCTCTTGCCGGAGGAGGGGCGCATAGCTGGAGTTGACAAAGAATGCCGTGTCCAGCATGCACAAGTGTTTGGCAAACTCTGTCAGCTGGTTTGGAAAGGTGTCCAGCACCGTGTCTGAAAGCCAAGATTTCTAGTTGCCAGGGTGCCATGCTCCGAGGCACCTGGTGGGTGAGGGCCCTGCCTGGAGCTTTCTTCCTGCAGCCTGGGCTGCCAGCCTCCCACACCCCTGACTTCCCTTCTCTTCTCATCTCTTCTCTCTCTCTCTCCTTTGCTTTTTCTTTCCTATTCTTTATCCTCCCCCACTCCACCCCCTAACTCTGGTTCTGAGGATTGAACTCAGGGCCTTTGCACTGAGCTACATCCCCAGTCCATTAAAAAAAAATTTTTTTTTTTTTTTTAAATTTTGAGACAGGGTCTTTCTAAATTGCCTAGGCTAGTATCAAATTTGTGATCCTCCTGCCTCAGCCTCTCAGAGTGCTATGTGCTGAGGTTTTAGGCATGGGCCACCACACTCCAGCCTTCCCCCTTCTGACAGGGACACTCCTGGGTCCCACAGCTCCTCTGGGTGGGACGGTGAACAGCAACATGCTCTTGGGCTTCAGCAAGTCCTTTATGGGTTATGCTTGGCAACTCCCTCTGACCCAGCCACAGAGCTTGTGCGGTCATAGGGACTTCAAGCCAACCTATAAGCTAGGGCTACCTGGGGCCTGAAGCCTGTTGCCCTTCTGCCCCAGACTATGAGGACAAGGGTTAACAGGGAGCACTTAGGCAGCCTTTGCAGGTCATGGCCAAATAAAATCTTCAAGAGGGCGGAAAGCCAGTCTTCTAGCCTTATCAGAAAGAGGTGGTAAGTGGAAAGTAGGAGAGCGTGGTTGAAGACTGGGCGCTGCTTCTCACTACTTAGGCTTCCTGCTCTGAGTCATCCCTATCCAACTGCAGGGGACACCGCTTTAATACACTGACCCCCAGAACAACTGCAGAAAACAAGGGCCTGTGTTTCCCATCTGCAGGAGCCGGCCATTGCTGGGTTATATGTGGTACAAGCAACGGATTAAATACCCACAGCGCCCCCTACTGGCAAACCCATAACCCATTGGCCGAGACACAGCCAAACCGGAACAGGGCCAGTGTTCCACTCGTCCTTTCTCCAAGGCACCTTGGCCTCCACTGCCCTCCCCCAACAGAGCTGGGCCCAGGGGATGCCCCTGGTACCTTTCCACTTCTGGAAGTGGCTGTTGCGGAGATAGCCAGTGTGCAGCTGCAGCCCGTACATGAAGTTGTGGAACTCAGACACGAAGGACCGGTAGGTGAGGACTTCTCGGAAAGTATTGGACAGCCAGGACGCCGGAGTCACTACTGAGGTTTCCAGGATATTAGCATCACATTTGGGAATTTCAGGCAAGAGTGGCTCGTCTTCTGCAGGGAGGGGATAGAGGACAGATGAGACCTCCAGTTCGCCCAGGTGAGTCACCCCCCCCCTCACCGACTACCTGCCCTTAGGCAGGTACTGAAGCGCAGCTCACACCTTCCCAGGAGTGACCTAGGTCAGAAACACAGGCTGCAGCCAGCAGCGGAGATGCAGAGGTCTCAGGCAGCCGCCTCCCCTTACTCTCCCGGGCACTGGAGGTGGCCCGTCCCGGATGCACGCACCGCCTGGGTCACACCACCCACCAGCCACAGGGCCTTCCACATCTATGGTCACGGGAGGGTCCTCCGTTCCTGCCCCACACTGCCTGTCACTCAGCCAGAACAGAAAGCTAGAGGGTCACCCACCGAGGTCGTGCACTTTCTCCCTTGTCCATCGGTGGAAAAACTCCTCTGAGGTGTTGCACAGATTCCAGGCGTCGAGCAGGTTCAGAGAGAAGATGCTGCTCCACAGACCTGGGGAGCACAGCCTGTGAGCAGCCCTCCCCGGGGCCCTGGCTTTCGAGCCCAGCTGCTCTGCCTTGCCGGGATGCCTTCCCAGCCAGGTGCTCCCTTCTCCCATGGGGCAGCTGCCCAGCCCTGAGCAGGGAACGGATGCAGACAAGGGACAGCCCCTTCCGGGGCTCCACACAACAAGCGTGGGCTTTGATTCCAGTCTGGATCCACCCCTTGTGTCAGTTCATAGAGCTAGTGTGTTTAAGTACCTGGCATACAGTGAGGACTAATACGTGTGATGTCATCTCATTATTTTTGAAATACAACATTATTAATAATATTCATTAACTTTCTCACATACATTGACCCATTGGGACCCTCTCCAAGGTAGGTTTTACTCTTACACCTAACTCACAGATGAGAAAACTGAGGCTCAAAGAACTGAAGCAATTTAGTCAACTTCACAGAGCTAATAAATGAAGAACCAGAGTTCAAATCCAAGTATGTTAACTACAGTCTTCAGAGCCATTTGGCTGCTAACATAGGTGTCCATGAGAGGGAAAGGCCACCGTGGGCTGGAGGCTTCTGGGTGGGTTTCACAAAAGAGATGGGACATGAACTGGGCCTTCTGAAAAGGGATGGATTAGGAGAGACAGAAGGAGTCTACACAAAGGGCGTAGCTGTTATTGAGGTCAGGAGGATGGTCTGAGTTCTGAGGTCACACTTTGGCAGATGCAGTTGAGACACTGAAGGGAAGAAGTGAGAGCAGATGTCACTGCTGCCCCTGTGCTCAGTGGCCCTGGCTCAGGAAGGACCAGGAGCCTAGGGTGGGGAGCTGGCTGGGCTTCTCTGTGGCTCTATCCTGTACCCCTGGGTCTCTTCTGCTTTGGGGCTTGAGTGGCACTGGAAGCAGGCACACTGCTGCCAATTGCCAGTGGGGAGGAAATGGGGCTTCCAGAGGCTTCTGTCTCAGCCTGCCACAGCCAGGCTGCTTCTGAGCTGGCCCCAGGAAGGCCACGAGAGACCAGGACATTGGAGAGTCCCCAGGTCCCCATGATCGATGTGTGTGTGTGTGTGTGTGTGTGTGTGTGTGTGTGTGTGTGATGTCAGGTCTCTCTGGGCCAAGAGGCCACAGGGAGATTAAGGCAGCTCTGGAGGTGGGCGGGTTCAGGAGCCCCTCCTGGGAGAGAAGGCAGTGCTGGGGTGCTGGGAAGTCACGTGCTCAAGGGCTTACCTGAGCAGGCCAGCACAGATGGGACAAGAGGGTTCCCACACTCCTCCTCTAACCCACCGGGGTGGGGTATCATGGGGAGCCCCCAGCCAGTCACCTAGCATGTAGCACATCCTTGACTCAGGGATCCTTTTCATCAGCCGTCCCATGAAGAACTCAGAGCCGAAGAGCTCAGGGGGGATGAAGGCCCCGTACTTCTGCATCCCCACCTCATAGGGGGAGAATTCGCACCACTCTACACAGGGAGCAGAAGGGCAGGGCATTAGCCCCAGGCCAGGGAGCCAGGCAGCCAGGCATGCACTGTCCAGATGGCCCTCCCTCCCTGGCTCCTGGCCTGGGACGCCTGGGGCAGGGAGGCTGCAGTTCCTATTGCGGACACTTGGAGCACTTGCAGCTGCCGGCCTCTGCAAACTGACAAAACAGCTTTGTAAACTGGCGGGCTCCTTTGCTCCTCAAAGCCAGATAAATTAAGTGGGGGCCAAACCGACCCTGGTACAGAGCAGGTCTTCCTAGTCCTGCTCTAGACAGCTTTAAAAAATACCTAGGACTCCCTTTCACAACCTTGAAGTCTCCCTGTCCATTCAAATGTCATGCCCCGCCCTTGGTACAGAGCAGACTGGGGAAGCAAAAGTGATTTCTTCAGTTTTCTGATGTGGAGGTCGGCAGAATGTATGTGGGGAGATCTGGAAGCACTGAGTGCCTCTGCCCGCCCAGAAGGGCCCCCACCTACATCATTGGTCACCAGTGTTACCTCTGAAGTCCTGGTTGCTTACGTCATCCTTGACATTGATGGTGAGGTAGATGGGCAGGGGGTTCTGGCCCTGGCACACAGCAGCACGCTGGTCTGACAGTTTGTACTCACTACTCTGTGGGGAAAGGGATTGATTAAAGGGAAGCAGCAAACAGAAGAAGCCGCCCCTAGGGGAGGGGACAGTGCAGGATGCGAGGACCACACTGACCCCAGCAGGCATTTTCCAGCTCCCAGGACCACCCAGCTGCTGTGTGGGCTGTAGACAGCAGTCAAGCACTCCTGGGGAATGTTCCCTACCTCCCTGGACGACCCACCAGGCTGTGTGGGAAGACATAGTATGGCCCAGTGATCTTGGGGACCTCCTTTGAGGAAAGGAACCGGAACCAGGTATCTAGACACTATAGAGTCAACTGTGCTGGGAGTAAGGCCACAGATTCAGGAAGGAGCCCAGTCCATTGTCAAGGGCCAGAGAGAAAGCTGCTCCTGCTTTGGCCACAGTGGAAGGCCAGGGGCCTCCCAGTAGCATTCCAGCCTTGCTTCTTGAGGAACCCTGACTCTTCTCCATGCTAAACCCTCTAAATGCTCAGCCCACATGGGTTACTAGCTATATCTGATTCCTTTCTGAATCACCAGCAGCAAGCTCAGTTGACATGCAGCAGGTGATTAATTTAGTTAAAAGCCTAAAGGAAGGGATGAGTGAATATTGAAGGTGAGGGTCGAGTCATCCTTGGTTGCTCAAGTTGTCTGACTTTCTAGAACAAGGGACCAACTAGGAAATAAACTGCTTCCCTCTCCTTCTTCTGGCAAGTTCTGATTTGAATGTATAACTCCCAGGCAGCATTTAGGAGTAGGGCTGAGAGCTACAGACCTGGATATAGGTCAGGTAGACAGCTCTGCTTTGGGACCAAGCAACAGCCAAAACTGCCCCCTACCCTGGGCCTCTGGCCTGAAGGGTGCAGATGTTAGCCGAGCCCACCCTGATGTCCATGATCGCATGTCACACAGGGACCGCCCCACCCTGCCCTGTTTCACCACATCCCACATGGCTCTGCCAGCACAGGCTGGCTTTCTTCTTGGGCACACATTGAAAGAGGGAAACCGACTGGACACATTTCCTGTATGGTGGCTAGGAGGGGTGAGCCCTGCAGAACTCTCACTACCAGGAAAGTTACAGACGAAGGGCCCTAGCTGCTGTGCTCCGAAATCCATGGCCAGGTTGGTGCCGAGGCCACACTTCCTTTGAGCTCAGCAGCAGTGCTGAGCAAGGCCCATTCAGGGGATGGAGGACACTACTCACAGCTAGCTGTGGCCAAGGGACCCTCCACAGGCCTTGTGGAGACTTTCTCGACCACAAGCAGCCTAGCATGCTTCCACTTGACCTTGTTTCCTCTTTCCCCCACTTAGGGTCAGACTTGCATTGGGGTTGACAGCTCTCCGTCCTCCTTTTCCATTTTCTCTCACATGAGTCCATGAACCCCTCTTGCCATCATGCATCCAGTACTTCATGGCTCACACTGTCCCAGGATGCACCAGCACATGTAGCCTAACGTCTGTGGTGACAACCGATGAAGAAAGGGGGGCTCTGGAGACACGGACTGCCTACCTCATCTGCCAGACAGGACTCAAGCAACAGGCCCCAGAAGTCTGTAAAGGTGACCTTGTAGCCTTCCTGGGTGCGCTGCCGGAGTTCCTCCTTGAACTTGAGGAGCTGGTCTGGGAAAAGGGAGGGCATCTTGTCTTTGATGGCATGTCTCCGGGCCTCGAAGATAGCAGACTCCAGGTTTTTGGAGGACCACTCAGGATCTTGGTACAAGGTAGCCATGGTCCTGGGGAGACAGGCATGGCTGAGACAGCTGACCCAGCCCTGCTCTGATCATCCCTAGATCCAGGCGGGAGAAGTTCCATGGGGAACCCTAAACCTGCTAGAGGAGCGTGGGGGAAAGAGGGTGAAGTGGGAACTGGTGGCGAGAGGGAGAGTGAACTTTATTACTCATCACTGAATCACTACTGTTTTTCCGGTGCCTACTGTGTGCTAAGTGTAGCACGTAGTTAGGATGATGATTCCAGACCCAGACTGTCTCGGGTTCAAACCGGGCCCTGCCACTCACTTGCTGTGTGATTTTGGGCAAGCTATGTGGCCACTCTTCACCTCAGTTTCCCTGTCTGTGGAGTGAGGGGAGTCTGACCATTGTACCCACATCAGAGTTCTCGTGACGATCACAGGAGGCACCAGGTATAAAGCTTTGGAACAGTGCTGGCACTGAGTAAATCCTGGGGTCTTTATTCTGCACTGAGAGTGGCCCCTGGGGCAGAGCTCACTGGGCTGCCCTTATCTGAACAGTGACCTCTTCTTTCACAGGACTTGGTCTAGGAAAGTGGGATATGATCAGATTTTTCAGACGACAACAACAACAACAAAAAAAAACAACAAAAAACACCCACTTTCTATAAGGTTCACCCTGTTACTTTTGTACTTTCAAAAGTCTTTGCTAATGGTTGTTTACAAAAGAATATTTCCCAGCCAGACACAGTGGCACATGCCTGTCATCCCAGCACTCTGGGAGGACCATATGTTTGAGCCTAGCCTGGGCTACTTTGCAACTTAGCCAGACCATGTCTCAAAATAAAAAATAAAAAGGACTAAGGATGTAGCTCAGTGCAAAGGTTTCTATCCCCAGTACTGAAAAAAAATTTTTTTTTTTGTATCGGGGATCACTCGGGACCTTGTGCTTGCGAGGCAGGTGGCGGAACCACTGAGCTAAATCCTTGCCCCCCGCGAGTTTTTTTTCAAAGAAAGAATATTTCCCACTCTTTCCTCAGGCCAGGGGCCCCTCCAGCCTCTCACCTTCCCTGGCTGGGCCTGAGGTTCTCCCCACTTCCTGCCCACCCCACAGCAGGCAAGGGGACATAGATGTCCCTTGACCTTGTTGGAAGCGAGTTATCTGGAGTAGTCTCTAGTGTAAAGAGTAGGCACCCTGAACTGGGTTCAAACTCCTGGTCTACACTCATTAGCTGAGTGACCCTCGGCAAATTGCTGCATTCCCCCAGCTGTAAAATCATGCTGGGCAAATTTGGCTGGTCTTCCTTATCCTCAGCTTCCTCATCTGCATGTTTAATGCCAAGGGTCAAAAATATTTGAAAAAACCAATACAATTTAATTAAAAAAAAAATATATATATATATTTGAAAAAAATTACCTCTGTACTGAACCCACTGCGTGGACTTTTCCCTTGTTATTGTCTCTTAAGTAAGACAGAATAACAGTATTTACACAGTGTTGATACTGTATTCAGTATTACAAGTAATCTAGAGATGTTTAAAGTACTTAGGAGGAGCATGTAACTTATGTTTTATATAAAGGACTTGAAAATCGGCTGGTTTTGGTCCCTGGAGGAGGAGCGTCTGTAATGGAGTCCCCACTGATACTGAGGCCACCCAGTTCAGCCCAGAAACCACACCAACTACTCTCAGCCCTTGGTTCTATCCCATCTGGGCTGAAGCCCCCAGCCCTTGACAATTTTCCAGGGCCAACTCATATCTGCTTGCTCAAATGAGAGGGACCCCGAGCTCCTCTAGGGTAAAAGGGACAGTAAGAGACCTCCAGGGCTCCAGTCACCATCATAATAAGATGTACCCTGGCTGGCCTCGGGTGGTCCCAGGTCCCTAGCCATCCAAAGCTAGGGCCACACAATGACTTTGGCGGTTCTCTTCCACCAGAAAAATACTAAAAAGCAAATGTTATAATTCTGTGGTATTAAGAGAAATATATTGATGCTATTTATTAAAACATTTTCTTGGGCTCAGCGATTCTGCCACCTGCCTTGCAAGCACAAAGGCCCGAGTTCGATCCCTGGTACCAAAATAAAACAAAAACAAAAACAAAAAAACCCCTCTAAAATAAAATCACATTTTCTTGCCAGGTATGGTGGTACATGCCTATAATCCCAGTATGTGGAGGCTGAAACAGAAAGATTACCACAACTTCAAGGACAGCCTGGGCTACATAGTGAGAACCTGTTTTGTTTTGTTTTTTTTTAAACAAACCAGGAGCTGGGGATTTACCTCAGTGGTGCCACTGCCTGCCTCACAAGGACAAGAACCGGAGTTCGATCCCTGGTACTGCCCCCAAAACAAAAAAACAAAAACCTAAAAAAAAACCCCAAAACCCCAAAAACAAAACAAACTAACAAAAAAACACTTTCTATAACCTAAAAGCCCTTTTTTTTTTTTTTCTGATTTCAAGAGCCATAAGACATTTTTATCTATCATGAACCCATACTTTCTCCCTTTGGTCACCAGCAGAGTGTGGAAGGGGAACCCCCAGCAAGGCCCTGCCTGCTCCCCTCAGGCTATGAGGGCAGGGGAGTGGGCAGGTCACAGGGTAGCAGGGCCTGCAGGAGGGGAAGCCAGAGCATCAGGGCCAGCTGCCAGCTCTCCACCACAGGAGACTTGCACAGCCCTGAGAGAGGGCAGCTGCTCGTCCCAGCAGGAGGGGATTACAGGCACCAGGGCTCCTCTTGTCATTGGCCAACATGTTCCAGGGTCCCTGCCATAGCACCACCAGTAACAGCCATGTACACAGGGACAGTATTCTTAGTACTCTGAGAGCCCTTGCAGTCTCACTGCGCTCCCAAGTGGTCAGTGCTGTTGTTATCCCCACTTTGCAGATTCAGACACAGAGCCTCCAAAGGTTAAGCTCCCTACTGTCTTTTGCTTGGCCTGGAAGGCAAGAGAACTAGAGACCCCCCAGGCAGCCCGTCTGCTGCCTGCTGTGGACCCCACTGGACAGTGGCTCCCGGCCCCTTACCAGGTGGCCCCAGACAGGCCGGAGATGTAACTGCTGCAGTTCAGGAGGTTCAGCTTCTGCAATCCCAACAGGTGGCCGTACAGTGAGGTCATGGACCTTGCTCCACCTCCAGTGGCCATGATGGTTATCAGAGGTACCTGGGGTCATGGAGGAGGCAGACTGATGGGGGCTCAGGGCAGGGCTGGGTAGGCAGGGACTGGAGTGACAGACAGCAGCTCAGATGGAACCACAGGGAGGACAGGCTGGCTAGAGAGCAGGGAGGAGAGGGGAGAGCCCTTCACAGAGAGGTAGGCTGGGGGTAGGCTGGAACTGGACCTCTGCGTCTGACCCAGTGTGTCGGGGAGGGCTCTGGTGAGTCATGGGTTCATATCATTCCCGTGACAGGCCTCAGGTGACAGATAACAGAAATGGGACAGAGTTGGGGACAGGGTCTCCACAGTACCACACCCATGTCTTCCATGGACGGATGTGGTGATAGGACACGAGGCCTGGGGCCGATACACAGCACGTGCTCTGTCTATACTGTGTTTGTGAAAGCAGAAATAAGTGAATTTCCGATGTGGAGAGGAGCAGGGGGTCACTTGTGTGTTGACATAGGTTTAAGATGCTCAGATGGGAGGAAAAAGGGGGCTTTTGGCCAAAATTCACTGTTTTCATTTAGCAGAGGCTGTAAGAGCCTTCAGCTGGTTGAAGCCCATTTACAAGTTCCCCGCTGTCCCCCAGTCTCTACCTGCACTGAGACCAAACTCAGAAGGTGGCATCTGGGGGCCACCCTGGGCAGTGTAGGCCCCAATCCTGATGGGGGAGGTGGCAATGGGCCCTAGCAGAGGCACCACACCTGCCTCCATGAGAAGCAGCAGTTGGACCTGTGAGTGGACGCTACTTCGCAGTGACCTGCTGTCTGTGTTTACAGGGCTGAGAGAAGAGGTGCTAAAGGGTGGAGGATCTTTGTCTTTTTTGGGTGGGAGTAGGGAGGTGTGCCAGGGGACGGGGTTTAAAATGCTGTCCAGCTGGGGCACGGAGGCCACTGGGGGCCTCTGTGTCATTAAGGCAGGCTTGGTCACTCACACGCAGCACACAGGGGCAGTGGGAGCCCTTTCTTTCTGCTTCTACTTGACCTCCCCTGCCCTGGTGAATGATGTCAGTCCTATCTGGTGCAGCAGGTGCAACCATGGCAGGGAGGCAGTGCCATGGTCGCTCAGGGCAGGGAAGGGCTAGGTGGCTTGTGGGGTGTGGGGTTGCAAAGATCAGCTTGGCCCAGAGCAGCCCTAAGCCCAGGCTGGCTCCGCTGCTTACCCACCTCGTCCTCAGCCAGGTCCTCCTCTAGCTGTAGCACCTGCTTCAGCGCCTCAGCCACCACCACCTTCCTCTTCTCCAGAAATTCCAGCTCCTCAGGGCACAGGGTGAAGCCTAGTCTCACATCCAGTGTGTCACAGCTGGGGGAGAGAGGACCCTGGCTGAGCAGGCTCCCCGTCTCCACCATGGAGGGGCAGTTGCAGCATCAGGGGCCCTTGGACCCAGGCTGGGAGCCAAATTCTACCATACATCACATCTGCAACCTTGGGCTTCTGTTCTCATCTGTCAAATGGTGCTCACTCCTCAGCACTGTCCCCAGCACTTAGTGAGATACCGATGGAAAACCGCAAACCTCAGCTGGCACCTGAGCACTGCTACCTCACGAAAGAACACTCTTCTTTCATTAGGGACTCTTTGATACCTGTGCCCCCTCAGCAGGGTATGAAAGTTTAGGAGAGCTTCCCAACATGGGTGAGAAGGGGCCCTGAGATCCTCTTGGCAAACCCCCAGACAAGGCTCTACAGCATGGACTCTGGAGCTCGATAAACCAGCTTTCCGTTCCCACAGAGCTCACATTCCTCATGAAGCCCTTCTTGATCGCAGAGTCATAGTCCTCCTGCATTTGTGCCACTGACAAAGGCCCTTCATATCTCTGACCTCACTGTGCCATCCCCATAGGGCTTCAAGGCCAGGGGCAGGAGCTGCCATGACAGGCCCAGGTCTCGCCCTCTTTCTATCACATTCTTGCCTGGAACAAATCCAGGCTCTTAGCCTGGGATCCAGGACCTTACCTCACTTGTCCACACTCACCTCAAGCTACTTCCTGGAAAGGGCCTGCCAGGCTCTCAGAGCCACAGGAGCAGCCTGATTTCTGCTGCCCTCGCCAGAGCACCCTCCCTTTGCCCACCTATGCCCTGCACCCTCCAACACGCAGCTCATGAAGCCCAGTAAATCATGATCTCGGATTAGGAAGCAATTTCTTATATATGACACCAAAAACACAAGCAATGGAGAAAATCAATAGGCTCCATCAAAATTAAAAACCTTTGCTTCTCAAAGGACACCATCAAGAACACAAAAACATAACGCATTAAAACAAAAGACACACACACAACACACTGAATAGGAGAAAATATTTGCAGTGCAGGTGTCTTATAAGGGCTTTGTACTCAGCATATACAACAAACTTTTACAACTTTAAAGCAAGCAGCCCGCTTAAGAAGTGGTCACAGGGTTTGAATAGTCACATCTCCGGAGAGGTATACAAACGGCCAATAAGCCATGAAAGATGCTCGCCACTAGTAGCCATCAAGGGAACTCAAATGGAAGCCTCAAGGAGACACCACTTCTCCCCTGTGAGTATGGAGAAGGTAGAGGGAAGGACAGAAGGGGTACTTTACCAGGGTGTGGACTTCATGTGTAGTTTGTAATTCTCATTCTGAGGATGGAGAGATGAACAATTAGTCAGGGATAACAATTCAGAGCAAAGTGATCCCAACCACAGTGGCAGACTCACCATGCCGCCCACCCCACGCATGCACCAATCCCTCTGCACCCCCTGGACATGACCTTCCCTACCATCTTCACTGGGCCTCCACACATTCTGTGGCTTTTCTATCTCCTGCCTCCCAAGGCCCCTCGGTGCTTCTGGAGAGACCTCACATGTCCCCTTGCTTTGTGTGCCCTGGGCTCGTCTGGTCTCCTGGCCACGGGAGTTCCATGATGAGCCACTCAGGAGCCCCTTCCCAGATGCAGGCCCTCACCACAGGCAGAGTCACGGCTTGGCCATCAGAAAGGCAGTCGAGGGGCTGACAGATAGAATCGCTCTTGCGTGCACTGCAGCAGCTAAGCTGGAAGGATGCATGGGCTTGGTGCAGGGGAGGGGAGTGGGGAGAGCACCCCATAGTGTCCCCCTGCCTGGTCCCCTCCCCCAATGCCATCATGGCTGCCATACACCATACCAAACAGTCCCAGTGGCTCTTGGGCACAGCCACCTGCAAGCACGGCTGGAAGTACTTGGGGTAGTGGAAGGAGGCAGAGTCTAAGCAGCAGGGCTCCCTGTGGGGTGAGTTACGCCAGGTGTGCTCAAAGGATTCAGTCACTGTCACTAACAGATCTTTCACTGAGGAAGAGGATGACAAAGGTGAGATCCTGGGAAGCTTCTCTACCCACCCCACTTGTACCAGCAAAAAGCCTGTGTGGAGGGGCCAGGAGGTATCTACAATGCCCTCGGCCCTGGTTACAGTGCCTCAGAGTGAGTCCCATTCTGTCTGCAGGGCAGGGCCTTGGAATCTGCATTTTGACCAGGCTGGTGAACACTGCTGACGAGTGAAGTCCCCAGAAAGCCCTTTGGGCTGCAGAGGGCTGGGGCAGGCCAGCGAGTGCTGTCTGTGGATCTCTTCTGTCCCTTCCACCTAGCAGTCAGCAGGACTCAGTGAAAGGAGAGCTGGCTGGAGAAGGGGGAAGCAACTAGAGGGGCTGCCCCAGGGCTACTCACTGAGCCGGCCCTGGGCCACACCCATCCTGAGCAGACCCAGGATGCCAGGCTGGGGAGGACAGGGCTTCAGGACCCTGAGGGCAGCGGATGCTGAACAGGTTCCACTAAACTTCTTCCCACTTCCCTGGCCCAGCCCGTGAGCAGAGCAGAGCAGAGCAGGCTGTAGATAGTGCTGGGCTAGGAAGTGTCCTGTGCCCCCACCCCCCAGAGGGCAGGGAGCTGAGATGCTCACTTTTCTTCCTCTTCCTCTGCTTCCTGGATTCTGTGTGAACCTCTAGGCAGGAGACTTGGCGGGACTGTAACAAAGCAGAGAGGGCACTGAGAGGAGCGCACAGGTGGCCTCCTCCCTTGTCCAGGCCAAAGGGGATGAGTTCTGGGTTGGCTGACCTTAGGCTGATGCTGGGAGCCCTGGGTGTGCTGCCCACCCCCACCATTTCTGAACCTCATCAAGATATGCCACCCCAACAGAGACAGGATATTTGGTATTTGACAATGAGGCTGTCCTGTAAGCTCTAGGACATGCGGTTGCTGTTTACCAAGGGGCCTGTCAGTATCTACCCAGGGCAGCGTTCAGTTCTGTACTTTGCAAGTCAAATAATCTTTGCAAGAGGAAGAAGAAGAAGAAGAGGAAGAGGAAGAGGGAGAGGAAGAGGAAGAGGACAACAAAGAAGAAGAAGGCCATGTTCTTTTGCAACAATTTCCCAAAGCCTCTGCCTTTTGCTTTCAGGAGTCTTTTGTTTATTTGTTTGGTTTTTTTGCAGTGATGGGGATGGAACCCAGGACCTCATGTGTCCTCAGGCAGATAGGTGCTCTGATCCTGAGCTACACCCCTGCTCCAGCAAAGCCTCTACTTACTGAGGGAGAGGTCTCCTTGAACTCTGGGGCCTTAGACACATTTGTTTAAAATATTTGTACCAATAGCTGAAAGAGGGAAAATATTTACTATTGCAATTGTGCTTGCAGAGGCATCGGGTTGTGGGAACTGAGTCTGAGGAAGCTGCCCTTTGTGGGTTCTTTTACTGGGGAGAGCCACAAGAGGAAGGGGGGCATCCGGGGAGGTGGGGTGCTGATGCCCTAGCCGCTTCCTCCTTGCACCCCTGTTCAGCTGGGCATTTAGTCCAACTCCTCCAGGGATCAGGACGGGACAAGGCCTCCCACTGGCCCAGTGTCCTCTCTTGTGACAGCAGCAGCCAGATGTGGCCTCTAGCGCTACAGGAACCAGAAGGAAAATTACCACCAGCACGCCATTGGTGATGAGGGTCTCCGCCGGAGAGGGACTAAAAAACAAAATGAGAATTCCTGCTCAGTTCCACCATTTTTGATCGATTTCTCATGACATAAATAGGGTCAGTAATAAAATAGCAGAGGTTTTTTGGTTTTTAACAAAAATAGCTTAAGAAACCTTAGATATGTAGATGATCAAGGAGGAAACTGGCATTTTAAGTAGACCGTCCAGAAGAAGATAAGAGTTATGGGTCAGATAAATTCTCATTATTTTTAAAGAGTAACTATCCTGTATGCCCAACTAGATACAAGAAAGGGCCGCCACCCACCAACTAGGACAGATGTAAACAATTTCATCACAAAAACGGTCCAGACTCCATTTTATTTTATTATTATTATTTTAAAATTTTTATTTTATTTTTGTGTTTTTGAGACAGGGTCTCACCATGTAGTTGAGACTGATCTGGCACTCATTATGTACCCCAGGCTGGTCTCGAACTCACAGCAATCCTCTGCCTCAGCCTCCCAAGTGCTGGGATTACAGGCTTGTGCCACCATGCCCGGCTTATTTTATTTTATTTTTGGCTGCTTGGGTAACTTTAACCAACCTTAACCAACCATTGGTTTCGGTTTTTGTCTTTGATTTCCTTTTTGGGATAGGTATAAAATATTTGGCTATAGAAAATGTGTTATTCTTGCAGCCTTAATATGCAGGATGGGATATATAAATTTTTGTGATATTTCGAAGACTGAAATTATTTTGATAAAATTATTTACAGATTTAAAAAGTTGTACTTATCATAAATCTGTTGAGGGGGGAAAACTACTGCATGAAATAACTAACTTGGAATACATATTTTTCATAAAAAGACCCAGTCTTCATTTTGTGCTTTATCTAATGCATGCATCTAACAGTTCCAACCCAACCAGAGAGCAGTTTGGTGGGTGTTAGACATCTTTGTGTTATAAAATCGAGATTAGAAACCTCCAAGTTTACAATCAGCTCTGGTTTATAGCTTTTCCTTCCAAAATTAAGCCCAAGATGACTGTGTCTTCAGATCAACTCTTATGAATTTTGATGTATTTTGTGTTGTAAGCCATTTTCTAATTCAGGCATAGAAGCTCTTCTCAAAAGTCCTGTCCATCCAAGAACTGGAGGAGAGAGCCTAGATTTTCTTTGGTGTGAAATGAAGCCAGTTCTAACTCACTGATCAGCTGATGCTGGGAAAAAAGTTTCCCTTGGCAGAGGACTTCCCAAGTGGGGAACCTGATCAACACTCTTGTCCTGTCTCATGCCTCTTACCCTCTCCTTGCACCCAGCCTGATCACAAGTATGAGGCCTGAGCCTGCCAGTGTTAAGAAAAGAGGAGGATGGACTGCCCTATCACAAGGAATTCTGCCCTCCTGCGCTGTGGCTTGCCCCTCTGGGCAGGCCCATACTTCCTCCCTTCCTACTCTTTTCTCTCTTCTCCTTCCTGTGTGTGGCCCAGCAGTCACAGATCCAAGACCCTACCTGTTGGCCCTGGGTCTCCCTGCAGATGTGGGTCCAGCTGCTTGGGATAGCGTTTGTTCTGACAGTTCTGGGGCAAGAGAACTGATTACTTGATCTCTCTCTCTCTCTCTCTCTCTCTCTCTCTCTCTCTCTCTCTCTGTATATGTG